GCAGGGTATTTAAAACCAAGTCAGGGTAAAACTTGTTTTTAATATTAAAAAGGATATGCTCTCTGTGGCTTTGCTGTCCCTAACCTGCCTCCTCGTCGGGGAAGCGTCTGACATTTCCTGCTCACTTTAACTTTCTAACCAAATAATGAAATAATCATATTGGCTTCTCAGTCACAGAATTCATTTTATCTCATTCCTGGGCTTAGAAATTCATCTCATATTTTAATCTGTTTTGAGCTCTTTTCAATTGCCTTGGAGATAGAGCCAAAGGTCCCCTGAACTCTTGTTGCCTAGAGTTGTTTGGTTTGGGTTTCTGTAGGGTATTTTCTTTAATAATGTGGTCTGTTCTGCGTTAGCAGCACGGATTCTAGGCGGCCTGGGGATGGGCCTCCCACTTCATGGCTCCTTTCTAGTAAATGAATGTCCAAATCCCAACTCTGGGATTCTCTTTTTCTGCCTTCCTCTTGGATAGTGTCCTCCCTTCCAAATTGTATTAATCCTTAACACGCCCAGCCTTCTATAGAAGTGCACTCCCAACTACCGGATACCGAGACCGAGACAGTATGATCCCTCCTTCCTCTGAGCTTCAAGTAAACACAGAAACCACAACACAATAACAACCAAGCGTCTTGGAAGCACTTTACATGGGTGAGTTCATTTTGTCTTACAGGACCCACTAAGGTAGGTAGTCTTGTTGTTGTTAGTGCTGTTGAATCAGTTCTGACTCATGGTGGCCCCACGTACAACAGAATGGAATGTTGCGTGGTTCTCACAATCACCACCACGTTCCAGTCTATCGTTGCAGCTACTGCACCAATCCATCTCAGCAATGGTCTTCTACGCCCTCACGGGCCCTCTGCTTCACCAAACATGACGTCCTCCTCTAGTGATTGACCCCTCCTGACAAAGTGTGCAAAGCAGACAAGTTGGACGCTGTTGTCTTGCGGTCCATCCAGTTTTCATTGGCTAATTTTTAGAATGAGAGTGCCAGGCCTTGCATCTTAGTCTTCTTAGTCTGTCTGGAAGCTCTGCTGGAGTCTGCCCACCATGAGTGGCTCTGTCAGCATTGTCATACCAGTGGCGTGGCTTCCAGCATCACAGTCACTTGCAAACTGTTGTGACAAACCGGTGGATGGGTGGTAGAGGTACTCTTGGTTCCATGATTTTGATGAGGAGACTGAGGCAAAGAGAGATTAAATAACTTGTCTGAGACATGGAATACACCTAGGTGTAGTTTCATCCAGTTTAACTCTTGATTTTCCCATTTCATGTTTGCATGTCATGGCTTCCTAACCAGATGGTGGGCCCTTGGGGGGTAGAGCACACCCTTTCTGGCAGCCCCCCTCCATTGTTAGTGCTGGGTTAGGTGGCACAGTACTGCTATCAGTTAGTAGTTGTGGGTTGTTGGACCCAACTGAGAGGGGACCTAATGTAGGGCAGGAGGCAGGGAGCCTTCTGCACCTTTCTTAGAGCCGAAGACTGATTTTGGGGTGATACGTGGAGTGTGGCCTGAGGACTTACTTGTGCTTCTTGTTTTAGAGAGTGGCAAGGTGACACAGCGATGCAGGTGATAAGGCTTCCTGTATGGGGCTTGAAAGCGTTCGTGTTTGTTGTGAGGTTGTTGGGGCAAGCCAGAAGCCACATCACACCTGTGGTTGTCGGGGGAGGCCAGTTCACTGGAAGGGGTCCTTCTTTTGAAGTGAGAGATGCCCAGAGCCAGGGAAAGCTGTGAAGAAAGGGAGGGATCACAGCTACTGCCTCTCTCAGGGGGTCCTCTCAGGTTTGGTCCTCCAGTTGGTGTGTCCTTGTTCCATAAAGATGCACAACCTTGGAGCAGGCAGTTCCCATCTGTGAGCCTCTGGTTTCTCATCTGTAAAAGGGAGGAAAATATCCAAGCTTGCCTTCCCCGTGGGAGAGTGTACCCAACAGGGGCAAATTCTTCATGGCAGGCAGAACTAGAATCACACGACTTCTCCTCCTGTTATACTGGCTGAAAGGCACAAGATCAGACTGGTTGAATTATGGGCAGCTTCTGTCTCTCCCTGCTTGTTCCATGAGCCTTCTGAGGCCATCCTTTCCTCCTCATCAGAAGTCTGACCCTCACTTTCCAACCAAATCCCCTGCAATGCCCGGCCCACCCCCAGAAGTTCTGATCTTATAATCAGGGTATAGCCCAGGTTTCGTGTTTCTCTAAAAGCTCCCCGAGAGATAGCAGTGTGCCCCAGGGTTGAGATCCAGTCTCCACTCCACGGGATAGGAATAGAGAGAAAAGAGAGGAGAAGAGGTCCCTCACCCCAACCTGAGGCCCATCATCTCGTTGTCAGGGACTCCACTTCTTAAATACTTATCAAATCTATAGAGTCCCCTCAGTGCCCACCACCATTGCCTTGGCTCAGTCCCTCCTCTCTCAGGTTATAGATGCAGCCTCTGAGTGGTATCCTGGCACCCCTGCCCTGCCTCCCTCCATCCTTCAGGGTCAAGTCCTAGGCAAAGCCTTTTGTGCTTTGGCCTCTGCATGCACATCCAGGCTCTTTTCCAACTCTTCCTCCCACATTTGCCTTCATTTCTCTAGTCTGTTGTGGGTGTGTCATGGCTTTGTGATTTTCCACGTCCTGTAACTTCCTCATAGAGCCCATCCTCTCCACCACCATCCCAACCTCATGCTGGAGAATGGTTCATTTTGGAAAACCTAGCTCAACTGTCATCTCCCTCGGGGAGCCTCCCCTAGTTCCACGCCTTATCTTGCTGCATGTTTCCTCTGCTCCCAGACAGGCTACTTTGTGGCTCACCTCATGCTTTGCTACACATTTACCTGCCCAGGACCCCAGGGCCCATTGAGAGAAGGTTCCATAGCTGGCTCTCTCTTTTTTGTCTTTGTCTCCCTCTTTCTCTCTCTCTCCCCTTCCCTCTCCCTTTCTCTCACATCTGCAGTTCCTGGGTGCAAAGCTGGCCCTCAACACATGTTTGTAGAATTGAATTGAATTGATTGATCTGCAGTGATGAATTAAAACATCTTGATGAGCTATAGTGATTCTCAAGGTCATAGTCACCGCTCAAAGTCTTGATGACTGCTCCAGGAAAGATCCATGCAGCTTCATACTGCTCCAGTATTCCTATGCTTGGAAAAGTCATTGTATTCACATGAGGTCTTTTCCTAATTCACAGTTAGCCAGTCTTGACTTTTCCAGACTCCACCATAATCTGACCCCCACAGATAGCAGGAACTTCTTCCCCAAAGGCCCCATTCAACAATAATTCTAGATACATACAGATCTTAGAATTCTATGACTGGACCCATGGAAGCCTTCTCCAGAACACTGCAGCCCTGCCCAGCAAGAAACCCAATATCCCGTGTGTTTTTCTGGATGGTTTTTCTAGGTCTAAGTCCCCTGGTGAAAAGCATCCCTAGAAAGGCAGTGGTCTCTGGTCTCTGGCCTCTCCCTGTCTCTCCCTCCCCTGTCCTGCACTGCCCCCTCCCCCAGCCTCAGCACAGATGTCTCTTGTTCCTGTTTTGTACCAGCCGTGGTTCCTTTCCAAGTTCTCTCCCACCCTCCTCCTCTGTTTGGGCAAAAGGGAAAGGCAGCTTGTTAAAGTCACAAACCATCATTGCAGAGCTGATGCCACTACCTCTGATGGGCTTTCAAGGGGCCAGGTTTGCAGGACAGCCCTTTCTCTGGCCTCTTTTCATATCCTTGATCTGGCTGTGGGTCCAACTGTCTTTAAACTTGTTCTGGAAAATTCCCTCTCTGTGGTGTTTATACCATCTCACTCTGACATTGCCATCTGGAATTTGCCATGCTGCCATCCCTAAAGAAATTTACTTTTCACTTCCTGTTTCACCTGTATGTTGTTGTTATGTGCCGTTGAGTCGGACCCGACTCATAGCGACCCCTCCTTGGGTTGCTGACGCAGTATCACTACAGAAGTAGATTGCCCAACCTTCCTTCCGAGGAGTGGCTGGTGGGTTTGAACCGCCAGCCTTCTGGTTAGCAGTCAAGTGCCTTAGGCACTATGCTACCAGAGCTCAGTATGCTATATATTTGAGTGTGTGTTTGGAATAATGTCCTCTGTCATTTTCTATGGAAACAATGTTTTGATTGTGTATTTCTCTTTTTAAACCTGCTCTGAAGGAGCTCTGGTTGGCACCATGATTGAAGTATTTAGCTGCTAACCAGAAGGTTGGAAGTTCAAACCCACTAGCCACTCCACAGGAGAACGATGAGGCAGTCTCTTCAGTAGAGATTGACAGCCTTGGAAACCCTTCTGAGGCAGTTCTCCTCTGTCCACTAGGTTCGCTATGAGTCAGGTCAACTTGATGGCAGTGGTTTTTTTTTTTTTTCCTTTTTGAAAAAAAAAGAGAAAAAATCCTACTCTGAAAGCTTTCCTTCTTCCTTTCATCCTGAGGTCAGAATCACAAATGAGAAAATTTGGCTTCTCACGGGGCAGCGGGAGGGGGAAGCTTTGGGGGAGGAGTTTCTGGTGCCAGCTCTGGGTGGCTGTGTGTGTGTGTGTGTGTGTGTGTGAGAGAGAGAGAGAGAGAGAGAGAGAAAGAGAGAGAGTGAGTGAGTGTGAGGTATTTATCAGCTCTGTGTTCTCCAGGCCCTTGGCAGGGTTGCCCTTCCTGTAACCCTGTGGTGGGCTGGTTAATAAGACGAGATCTGGACAGTAAGTTGTGAGTGGCATGCAGGGTTTCACTTCCAGGTTGAAGCATTTAATTACCAGTGTGAGGCCCTTTTGAGCTCTCAAGGGTTTGTCCCTGAAGTTCTGAATGACTATGACAAGAGTGTCCCTGTGGGCCACAATCCACAGTGACCACACATGAGGGAAAAATGAACCTGTACTGCTTTTCTTTTTAACATTAAGAAAATTGCTTAATAAATTACTTTTTTTTTTTTTTTCACTATTTCAGTTCAATGAAGGGAGACTTATTGAGGGCCCAAGACCATGGGGCTCAGGAGGAGGCCACCCACAGGAGGCAGGGGAGCTGAAGTAGAGAGCCCTTATTTGGGACACAGGTTGTTGGTGTGGCCACACTTGTTGCAGCAGTTGGGAGCACGGGGGTGCAAGTGAGCATAACATTTATGGCAGGTCATCTTGTCGCAGTTGTACTTCTGAGCGAGCTGGTGCAGGGAAGGCACAATGATGCCACGGCGCAGATGCAGCACCAGGTGCGTGGTGGACTCTTTCTGTGTGTTGTCATCTGAGAGTGTGTGGCCATCCTCCAGTTGTGTGCCCACAAAAATCAGTCGCTGCTGGTCAGGGGGGATGCCCTCCTTGTCTTGGATTTTGGCTTTGACATTCTTGATGGTGTCACTGGGATCAACCTTGAGAGTGATGGTCTTGCCCGTCAGGGTCTTCACAAAGATCTACATCTCTGCATCTGCCACTTGGCAGACAGTTCATGTTTCCACGTGTGTATTTGTATGTGCTGTAAGAATGTCCAAGTGTAGAGTAGAGCTGACAAGGGGCAAGTTTGTGGCAGCTTCTTGGCCATAGCCAGCTACTCTGAAGGACCCAGTAGTTGGACCTGTGGGCTTGGAACCATGGTCGCAGGTGACATCAAGCTCAATTGGCATAACATGCTACACAAAAACATTGTTCTACATCCTGCTTTGGTGAGTAGTGACTGGGGTTTTAAAAGCTTGCATGCGGCCATCTAGATGCAGCCATGGGTGTTTCCTCATCCAGAGCAAAGAATGAAGAAAACCAAAGACACATGGAAGCAATTAGTCCAAGAGACTGGTAGACCATAAGATCCTCAACCTTATATGATCCTGAGACCAGAAGAACTGGATGGTGCCCAGCTATCACTGTTAGCACTCAGCAAGGGATCAGTGCAGTAGATCCTGGATAGAGTGGGAGAATAATGTGGAACAAAACTCAAAATCATAAAAAAAAAGACCAAATTTGCTGATCAGATAGAGCCTGGTGAGACCCGTGCGATTATGGCCCCCAGTTACCCTTCGGTCTGGAACTGAGCTCACTCTTGTGGCTTCTAGCTAAACAATGGACAGGCATATAGGGGAACATGTACATCAAGTAGATACACTTCTTGGATCGATTAGTTGATCAGTCGTGGGAGAACAGAAGGCAGTGTTTGCAGGGGAAGACAGCTCAGGGGCGGGAGTGCATAGGAGTGAAGGACACAGGGAAGAGGTAACTACAGGGAGGAAGTGGGAAGAGAGCTGTCACATTGTGGGGAATTCTGGTCAATGTCGTGAAACAAAATGAGTATGAACTGCTGTATGGAAAATGAATTTGCTCTGTAAACTTTCACCCAAATCACAGTAAAAATTGTAAAAAATTAAAAAAATGTTACTTCTTTATTGTTGTCAAAATATATGTAATAAAACATTTGCCAATTCAACAGTTTTTACACATACAATTCATTATGCTCACTATGTTGTACAACCATTATCAGTACCCTTCCCCAAATTGTTCAGCCATCATTAACAGAAACTCAGCTGCATGCTTTTTAATAATCACTTTTTTGAAATATAATTTATGTCTCTTCTGTATTGAGATGAAATCTACCCTTTTGCAGTATACAATTTGGTGGTTTTTAGTGTATTCAGAGTTGTGCACCCATCACCACTCACTACTTTTAGAACATTTTCATCACCCCAGGAAGAAGCCTAGTACCATTAGCACAAAGCTACACTGTTTTAAGCTACTGAGATTTGGGAGTTGGTTATTACAGCAGCATAACCCAGCCTGTCTTGACTGGCACAGAAAAGAAGTGTGCTACAGAACAAAAACTAAACTGTGTGCCATTAGCTTGGGGCAAACATGAAAATGGAGAGGTTAGCGTGAAGAGGCGTATTGATGGCCACGTACTCTGCATGAAATAAACTTTGGTAGTTTTAGACCAGTGGGATTTTAGAATTGTCTGTTACTAGCTTAACTGACTGGTATGGAGAGATGGGGAGGGCATGATCAGGGTGCAGGTGGAGGTGGGGGCAAATGTTGAATACCTGGAGCCCCTGAGAGCCCCTGGCCTTGGCTAGGGAAGGCCAGCCCTGTGTCCTGCACAGCCCAGGTCCCCTGGTGAAAATCCCTTGCATCTAGAGATGGGAACAGGCTTGTTTTCTCCATGGAGCTCTTCTTTGTCTCTGTTTCATTGTCACCTTTTCTATGTGTCAGCATAAGGGCCCTTGAGAGGCAGAGGTGAGAAAGCGTGAGCTTTGTGTCCCGTTTCCCAGCTGGGTTTCTCCTGGGAGTGGCTGTGAGCAAGATCAACAGGAAGGTGACATTCATCTTTTTGACAACTCTCACTCCCACCCCCAGCATCTGCTCCACCACTGCCCTGGCCTCTTCTTCCTCACCATTCATGGCCTGTTCTGCAGGTGGCTGTTGGCCCCCCATCAGAGTGTATACATTGTCTCACCCCTTGGGACAGACCAGCCAGTGTGTTTCTAGGTGACAGCCTGGTGATCTGCTAGGTTAATCTTGGTGCCTGTGCTAATGCAGAGGGCAGCTGCCTAGTGGGTGTTCATTCCTCAGATGGTTGCTGAGGGCTCCCCTGTGCCCAGCACTGAGCCCAGCACTGTGGGGATACCGAGAACTAGGGCCTGGCCTAACCTCCAGGCCCTTAGAGTTCACAGGAGGTGACATTTATAAGGGGACAGCTCAGATGTGTTGCTGGTAGCTGCTGTGGAGGCAACTCTAACTGATGGTGACGCCATGTATGCAGAGGAGAACTCCATAGGGTTCTCATTGCTGTGACCTTTCAAAAACAGGTCACCAGATCTGTCTGCCAGGACAGCTCTGGGGAGGTTCAAACCACCAACCTTCTGGCTAGTCATTGAGCACTTAACCGTTTGTGCCACACTGGGACTCCTTCAGAATGGCTAGAGCGTAGGGCAGTGTATGTGAGGTACTGTGAGTAGGACATGGGCTATACGTGCTGTGGGGGCCATGGGAGTGGAGAATATGCTGTGGGTTCTGGGATGGTCAGGAAATGACTCATGGATGAGAACAGCTACTGCCCTGGGCCTCAGTTTCCCCATCTGTCAAATAAGGAGGTCAGGACACTTAGTTGATTCTCAGATTGTCTGGTAAGAATTACCATGCACGGAGATCCCAGGACCCTCCCTTGGCAATTCAGATTCTCTAGTGGATAAGGCACTTGACTGCTAAGCAGAAGGTCAGTGGTTCAAACCCACCAGCTGCTCCCTGGAAGCAAGACAGGGTGATCTACTTTTGTAAAGATTTACAGCCTTGGAAACCCAGTGGGGGTCGCTATGAGCTGGAAACGACTCCATGGCAGTGAATTAGGTTTTTTTTTTTTTTTTAAAACTCGGGAGTGGGGCTAGGAATCTGGCTCTTGGTTTCTTCTCTGAGCTCCACCCCCTTCCCAGTTCTGCACCTAGGTGTTGTTAGGGGCTTTAGCCCGGCAGGCTGTGAAAGGTGTGGGGACCTTGGAGGAGGGTCTTAGCTATGCCAGATTCCTGAACACCGCCCTGCTTGTTGTTGTTGTTGTTATGTGCCGTCGAGTCAGCCCTGACTCATAGCGACCCCTCCTTGGGTTTCCGTGGCAGTATCACTACGGAAGTAGGATTGCCCAACCTTCCTTCCGAGGAGTGGCTGGTGGGTTTGAACCGCCAGCCTTCTGGTTAGCAGTCAAGTGCCTTAGCCACTATGCTACCAGAGCTCCTTAGTGATGGGAAAGCACTTACTGCAGCTTGGGCAAATCATTTGGTTGGGAGGCAGGGCCATCGTTAAACGCTAATTGGTGGCTGAATAACTTAACCACCCAGTTAGCAGGGCCAGGGGAAGGCAGTTGAACAGCAGTGGTCTGTGGAGGGGATCTGAAGGCAGCCTCCATGCTTGGTGCTCTTTGTGTTCAACCTTGACAAGAGAATGCTTCAGGTTGCTGCGAAGGCTTTCTGAACTACTGAGCTTGAAGTTTGTTAGAACAAACATTAGGGGAATTGGTACCCCCTTAGAGTCCAGTGGGAGCTCTGGTGGCGTAGTACCTAAGGCACTTGATTGCTAACCAGAAGGCCGGAGGTTCAAACCCACCAGCCACTCCTCGGAAGGAAGGTTGGGCAATCTACTTCCTAGAGATGCCACCTCGGAAACCCAAGGAGGGGTTGCTATGAGTTGAAGTTGACTTGAAGGCAGTGAGTTTGGTTTTATGTATTTATTTTCAAGAGTCCAGTGAAATGGGCAGCCTTGATTGTGCAGCTCCTTTCCTAGTTGGAACCAGTAATCAGTTGCCACGGAGCTGAGCCCAACTCATGGTGACCCCTGCGGGTCAGAGTAGACTGTGCTCCACAGGGTTTGCAGCAACTGAATTTTTGGAAGTAGATCTCCAGGCCTTTCTTCTGAGGTGCCTCTGAGTGGACTAGAGCCAACCTTTCAGTCAGCTGAGCACATTAACCATTTGCAACATCCAGGGACTCCTGTTAATGAGAAAACCCTATTAACTCAGCACTCAACAGACCCAGCAAGGGCATGTTGAGGACCCTATAACTCCAAACCCACTGCCATTGAGCTGGGTTCCAGCTGCTAGCATTTTAGTTAGCAGCCAGATGCTTTAACCACTGTGCCACTAGGGCTCTTTCCAATAACTCAGTGGTTCTCAACTTCGGCTGCATCAGAATCCCCTGGAGGCTTGTTAAGATCCAGGTGACTGGGCCCTACCGCCAGGGTCTCTGACTCAGTAGGGCTGTGGTGATGCCTGGGAATTTGCATTTCCAACAAGCTCCCAGATGATGCTCTTGGTGCTTTGAGAACCACTGCTAATTTCTTAATCCTTTAGTTTAGGGACAAGGGGGTGCGGCTGGGGGTGGTTTCCACAGACCCAGGACTCATTCATTACCCTCAGGGCACTTATACTCTAATTGGGAACCTACCACCACCCCTGAGAGAATAGTGGTACTGTGTGTCAAAGACCTCACTGTGGGCCAAAGATACGATGCCCACACAAGGTGTGCAGTAGTGGGTGGGAGGCTTCCTGAGCAGGGAGGCCTGAAGGGTGGGCAGGACCCGGATTACTATTAGAGGTCTGGGCCATGCAGGCCATCCATTGGACACTCATGCCTAGGATGGAATGGCATCTCCTAACTTGTGCAGCACAGTGGCCTCAGAGAGGGCATTTGGGCTGGGCTAGTGGCATAGTGCCCAATGCATTTGACTGCTAACCAGAAGCTTGGTGGTTTAAACCCACCAGCCACTCTGCAGAAGGAAGACTGGGAATCTAGTTCCATAAAGATTTACTGCCTCAGAAACCCAAAGAGGGTTGCTATGAGTTGCAATGGACTCGATGACAGATTTTGTTTTGGTTAGTGTGTAGCCCAGAGAATTTAGTGTAAACACAGGTAGGGAAGCATAGGGTAGGACGGGGGATTAGTGAGGAAGCCAGTTGGCCAAG